TGGTACGAAAACATTTCTTTTATTTAATTTTAAAAAGCACTTTCCAAAATCGCCAGATCGTATCGAACTTCCATGTCATTGAACAAATCACCTTAATGTTTAATTTGCATACTACTATTTATATATTTACATGCATATATATATATCGTCACAAACAGAACTGCCCGGTAAACCGTAGGCAGAGAGAGAGAATATGATCCATTTTTTAGTGCGTACATCGAAGCGTGCCTGTAAATGTACACATTTATGTTCACATAGAAAATAGAAAATACAAAAAAAAAAAAAAAAGGACAGAAAAAAAGGGGAGATGAAACAAGAGACTCTGCATGACTACTTACAGTTAGGCGCCCATCTACATATATATACATATTCAGTGAGGGGATTCTGCAGACTGTTGAGGGTTCAGCCTCCTGATGAGTCGGTGAAACTCCGACGAAACAGTTTGCCACAGCCCCTCGTTTGTTGTCCTCTTCTCTCTCTCTGCCTACGGTTTACCGGGCAGTTCTGTTTGTGACGATATATACTCTAATATACATATATACATGAGACAATATATATTTAATCAGCCAATGAGCGACATGCAGGACCCATGTACCCAAATGGCGCGTGCAGGACCCCTGCACAAAGGGGACAACAGCCATCGAAAGGGATAATGAAAAGGTGAATCGGCATTGAATCCTTCAATCCGATGATTGGAATTTTTTTCAATCAATCGAACATAAATTCAATCGATCAACCGCGTAGTAATCCAAATCTCAATCCGATTAATTACTAATTAAATTGATGGGTCCATTGAGTTAAGGCAGGCTAGATCAAATACAACAAACGTCGGCAACGAACGTAGATCTACTACACAAAGGGGACAACAGCCATCGAAAGGGATAATGAAAAGGTGAATCGGGATTGAATCCTTCAATCCGATTTACCACCGACAGAAACAGAGCGATACAAACACGCAGAACATAGATCTGCTTCAAGAACAGAAACAGAGCGACACAAACACGCAGGCAGCGCTCTTCGTCGATACAAACGCACAGCTCTCTTTGTTGTCATTATTACGGTACGTCATCAGAGCAGAACAGGTAGCGAACAGACACCCAAAGAGGCACAGCATGCGTCAGCTCTGGATACGCCTGCAGGATTCTTCGTTGAATAGTTTGATTTTTCTCTGCGCCCTCTGACCGCTCCACGACGTGAGCACGCGCGCGCGCGCGTGTGTTTGCTCATCAAATATATTAAATGTATTCGTGCGTCCAGAGCAACCATCTATGTGCAAATGCCTGTGGGTGACGCGTCTGTGTTTTTGTGTGTCTTTTGGTGTTTTTCGCTGTGTTTCCACGTGTTAATTCGTGTACGTGTGTGTGATGATGTGTGTGCGTGTATTTTTTTGGTGTATCCGCATGTGCGCATGTGTGTGCATGTGCGTGTATGTGTGTGCATGTGTGTTCATGTGTGTGCATGTGTGTGTGTGTGTGTATGTGTACGTGTGCATGTGTCTATGTACGTGTGCATGTGTGTGTGTACCTGTGCATGTGTGTATACGTTGTGCATATGCGTGCATATGTGTGCATACGTTGTGCATAGGTGTGCATATGTGTGCATGTGTGTGCATGTGTGTGCATGTGTGTGCATGTGTGCGAACATCTATGTGTGTACGTGTGTGCATGTCTGTGCATGTGTGCATGTGTGTGTGTGTGTGTGTGTGTGTGTGTGTGTGTGTGTGTGTGAGTGAGTGTGAGTGTGTGATGCTGGGCATGCGTGCGCGGTGATTGATAGGTGGGTGTTGCGGATGGCATTGAGTGGTCAGAAAAGATATAAAACGACGGAGGCTTCAAGAACAGCGAAGTCGAAAGGACGGGGGGAGAGAAATGGGGAGGGATTCGGGGAGGAGAAGAGCTAAGAACAAGGAGAGGAGACAGAGGAAGAGATGCGCAGGTGGAGCGACGGATGAATTTGAATAAAGAAAAAAAGTAGGAAGGAAGTGAGAGATGGGCGCATGCCAAAGTGACAGGCAAAACGTAGTAGGGTTGTAGTTTACCTTGCGCCACAGGAATGAAACTCCATATACAAAAGGCCGTAATGAGAAAAATGAGCCGCCTTGACACACAGCGTGTCCGACATCCTCGCTCCTCCATGATGATTGCCGATCCAATTCCTCTCACCGCTCGCAGCGTCATCCCAACCCTTCAAAACTCTCTATCTACTTACTCTCCCCCCACCCCACCCCACCACCACCACCTCTCTCTCTCTCTCTCTCTCTCTCTCTCTCTCTCTCTCTCTCTCTCTCTCTCTCTCTCTCTCTCTCTCNAACTTTTCTCTGTTCAAAGTTTTCTTTGCGGATTCAGGGAGATCTTGGCAAGCAGAGTCCAACCATGTTTTCAAAAAAAAAAGAAAAAAAAGGACCCACTTTTAGGCCCAACCGGACCTCCGGTTGGACCACCGGGGGCCAGTTGTCGGCACAGCCCTGTTTCGCAGGGTATTCAAATAACATAGGATTCCAGAGGAACCATACAGTCTGATTCCGTAAGGATTTTGAAATTTGAACTCATGATCTGTGCACTAGCAGGCTGGGTAGGTTCCAGATATGCTAGCTCAAGATACAGGGACATTTCTGAAAATTCACAATTCTGCTGTTCCAGTTTGCAAATTTGTTCGAGTTGCAGAGGCAGGGGCCTTAAAAGTTGCGGGCTGAGTGAGGGACTTTTGCCTGCAATTTCTGTCCCCTGCTAAAGACCCAATGAGACGGGAAGAAGTACCCAGAGTATTGCTTCTTATTAATTCTTAGCCTCCCCCTGGTCTGAGTCCCCCACAAAATAAAGTTGGGCCCTCCTTGGGTCCCAAAATTTGGTCCTTAAACCGCCGGTACACGGCCCCAGCCTTGCTGAAAAAGAAACTCGTCACCTAGGAAAATTTCGGAGGCTCGGCCTACTGGACGACAATGGCTGGCGGCGCCAGCCAAAAAAGGAAAAAATGTGCCCCACTGGCGTTTTGGAAAAGCTTGGCCTGCAGTGAGGCACCTGCAGGCCCGGGTGTACTGGTGGTTTAAGCCCCCCCAAAATAAAGTGGTCCATCCTTCTCATTGGGTCTTTTTTGACTCTTTTGGAACCTCGGTCTGAACCTGGTGCACAGGGTATCGGGCGCTGCAGGTTTGTCTGATAGTGACCTGCCAGAGTAAGCAGCGCTGTTTGCAGGACGGCGTTCCTTTGTCCGCTTATTGCCAGAGTTAAGGCCTGCAGTGCTCAGGGGAAAGAGCGGCAGCGGTCGGCGGTCTGCCAACCAGTCAGAAAACAAATCATCCACTGATTTTTTTTTCAAATCTGAGTTGGGGGCTGTACTGCGCTTGCTGAGTTCAGCCCAAAGCTGCTGAGAAACTTTCGGGGATGGGGGGGGGTATGGGGGTTTTGGGGGGGGGGGGGGGGGGGGGGGGGGGGGGGGGAAGGGGTCGTCATGGGTTATCCTGGGTCTGTGGGTCGGGTGACCCGCACCTGACCCAATGTCCTCGTGGGTGGGGTGGGTGCAGGTGGGTGAGGGTCTGGGTACCCGGTGCTCATCTCTGCCGGACGTCCATTTTGCGGCCTGATCCGGGCGTCCATTTTGCGGCCTGATCGGGACGTCCATCTTGCTGCCAGGGGCAGTTTAATGAATGCACGGTCTCATCCGTGATGCTACCCCCCCTTCCTTCCTCTGTTAGCCCGCCACAAACGTCCCATTTGTTGGGAGTGTCTGATGGGCCATGCTTAAACCACCAGTATGTCCAAGCCTTTGGTTTTTCCTTTTCACGGTGCTGATTTCTGCCGCGCGCTCCCAAGAAAAACGAACCGGCACGGGTGGGAAATCACATCTTTGTGCCTGGCGCCGCCATCCTTTCCTGTTCGGTGGGCCGAGGCCCCAAGGATGCAATCTGGAAACTGTCCTGTCGGAATAAATTATCTGCGAAATGTCGTGGTGGGGTTTAATGCCAGCCGTCATGGGCGACAGTGGTGCTGCGAATGTTTAGCGCCTACCACTTTCACTCGAATAGGACGCCTGCTGGTCATTATTGCTGCACCTTGACTGAAAGTTGCCCAAACTCAGCTATAATGCCCTTCAGGCGTTCTACTCGGGGGGGGGGAACTGTTGGTCTTCCTTGTCGTCGTCATCATCCATCTCATAATCCCTACCGTTCATGTCCTCTCTGACGTCAAGGACGGAGGGGCCGACTCCGAAGTCTTGCCTTGTTCTTCCCTATGCTCTCATTTTTATTCCGCAAATGTCACTTTCCGTTTCTCTTCCTTTGTTTGCTCCATCTCTCTCTCTCTCCCTCTCTCTCTCTCTCTCTCTCTCTCTCTCTCTCTCTCTCTCTCTCTGTGTCTCTCCCTTTTCTCTGTCTCTTTTTCACAGTGTTTAAGTGAGAAGGTCCGCACTCGTCACTTTCCCTTTCTCTTCCTTTGTTTGCTCCATCTCTCTCTCTCTCTCTCTCTCTCTCTCTCTCTCTCTCTCTCTCTCTCTCTCTCTCTCTCTATTTGATGAGCAAGTATCTAGATCGACGGCTGATGGCGATTAGCAATCAACGGTGGATCGAAAATTGCGCAAAAAAAATGATAAATAATAATCATTATGGTGATGACAGTGATGTATTGGGCACTGCATTACGTAAAACGCAACCGAACAAAAAACTCGATACGCTTCATTTTAGAATAGTAATCATTAATTAATAATTAATTAAATAATTAATCACTTAATTTCCGTAATCAGTTGTCATGATACGGTATTATGACTATCTTTTTTCATACAGAAACACGCAGAGCTTAATCTATGCAATTCCAAAAGCTGCAGATCGCAAGCAGGACAGATCTTCCCGCGTCGCCGATGGAACTGGTCGCACTCTACTGTCCCTCATCCATTCTCCTGTCTCCACAATCACCTCCCAACGCATCACTCCTTCTCCCAAGTCTCTTCCTCCTTCTCCAGCCCCTGACCGCGAAACGGGTCTCCTTCCCGCCATATTAGTTCCCGCGAGCGCCCCCATTCCCGCCAAAAAAAAAAAACTCTTTTGTCTAATATTGACCCCAATGTCGCGTCATCACCATCATCATTATCCTTATCAACGTCATGATGCCGACCCGCCCTTGGAGAAGACGAAGAGGAAGGAGGAGCAAGCAGAGGAGGAGGAGAAGGAGGAGGAAGAGGATAAGGAAGAGCAGGACAGCAGAATGCTAGATTGGTGGGGGATATGTTAAACGGCTGATGGTTATACAGATCCGGACCGATCACAATCGGGATCTCCCCCAATTCCAGTGGATGATTGGCGATCGCCTCCTCTCCCCTTTTCTCCCATCAACCACTCTAACGCGGTCCCCCCGCAGCGTTCCCCCGTTCGTGACCTCCGCTTGTCCCCCCAGCCTCCCGGTGCGCAGCTGAGCTCAGCTGATCTCCAGGAAGAGAGATTGCGCTGATCTGGCGCCTTCCCACGCCCAGGCATTGCACACGTGGCCGCCTGATGACAGCCCAGCTGTCCTTCGCACTCCCATTCCTGTTATCACTCGATCGTCGAACGCCCATCCTCCTCTTGGTCATCGTCCTCTTCATCGTCACCATCATCACCAATCGACGGCGCCCGAGCCAATAGACGCCTCTGGGAATCACACGGAAGAAAGCTAGTCGCGTATGCAGCAGTGGTGAGCCAGCGCCGGCCGAGCGGGTAGGCTGGGGAGGAGGGTCGGGAGGAGGCCCGATCCAAGCCAGACTTCGGCCTCCTCCCACCCTCCCTCCCTCCCTCTCTTCCCCGTTTTCCGCCTAGTCCCCGCGCAAGGGACCCGCCCAAAATACCCGCACGCGATCCGGTAAATGAATGTTTGCGCTCACACGTGTCTGACACGTGGAAAGCGCTGCCGCAAGCGGTCAAATGAAAGCTCAACCCGTAATGACCAGGACTGCAACGCGGGATGGGCGGGGGGCGGGGGCGGGGGCGGGGGCGGGGGAGGGGGAGGGGGAGGGGAGCGGGCGCGGGGCCGGGGTGCGAATTCGCAGTTGACAAACGTACGGAAAGGACGTCTATTATTCTGAATGCCTTAGTCGGAAAAAAAAAAACGAAAAATGTGAGTTATTTGTCTTCAGGCAATCGAATGGAAAAAGCTCACCACAAAGTGGTGGTGGTCCACGACACGTTTTCTTCTACTCTAGAGCTAAAGAGTCAAGGGGACGTCAAAGGACAGAGAACGAGGAGCCAGCTGTCAATGGGACATCAAGGGACAGAGAACGAGGAGCCAGCTGAAGAATGGGGAGGGGGGGGGGGAGAGGAGGAGGGGGGAGAAGGAGAGGGTACGCTAGTTCGTCTGATGCTCCCACTCTCTCTCTCTGCTAGACCATGCTCGATTGTTTACGTTTGTTTACAAAGAGAGCGAGAAGTATAAAGTCTGACTTGCTAAACACGCGAACAGATAGCACAACTTCACAAACACAAGACCAGTGCTATAGAACCACTACCGGTAGGGGGGGGACGATCTGTTCTTAAGAATCTCTACTAAGCTATGGATCGGAATAGACGGACTGATCAAGCGGCTGGCTAGCTATAGCTACCAGATAGCAAAAGCTTCACGCTGCTTGCTAATCACAAAGCTAGTGACAAAGTGGGCCAGTTGCTTGCCATAAGCAGAAGTAAGTCTGGCATGGCAGCAGCTACAATCATGCAGCGGCGGCAGATGATCAGCAGATGGAGCCCTGGGCAATCCACCCACTCACACTTTCAATTCGAGTCGTGATTAGGATCATTTTCCGAGTAATAGCAACAAGAAGAGGAGGAGGAGGAGGAGGAGGAGGAGGAGGAGGAGGAGGTGGAGGACGAGCAGAAGGAGAGGAGAATGAGGAGGACGGCGATGGACACAGCGCGGAGCAGAGAGAAGAGGAGTGGCAGGAGGAGGAGGAGGAGGAGGAGGAGGAGGAGGAGGAGGAGGAGGAGGACGTGGAGAAGGAGAAGGCGGCATGCATGCCTGACGAAACTGGGGCATCAGGGGGCAGCCACGCCCCGCCCCGTCACGAAATGGCGACGGTACGAATAGTTTCCAACATTTAATATCCGCTTGAGATCAAAACGACGGCATCAAAAGCAAAAAGCTCTGCTGCTACTGCTACCGCCTCTTCCCCCGAACACAACGCACTCTCAGGAACACCAGCTAACCAGGGTAGAAGCTACAAGAGCTACTTCGCTGCTCGCTCGCGTCCTGTGACTTTCCGTGGTGCAAATCAGCTGCACTGCCCAGCTCTGACTACCTCCTCCCCCCTCCCGTCCCGTCATGCCCTCCCATCCTCCCCTGCGCGGTTAAGCCCGCCCCGCTTGGCTCCTCCGGAGTCAAGGGGTTGTCCTTCGCGCGCCCGCAGTCCCAGTTCGAGTACCACCAACCATCGCGGAATTCGTGCCAGCGCCAGAGGCATGGCTGCTGGCGGGCGATTTCAAATTCATCATCTGCCTTCCTCTGCTGATCACTGCCAACTGTACCCTTTCACATTGGCCGGCAAACATCGTCCGCCCCTCCCTTTTGCTTTTCTGTGCTCCTAACGCAGAACCTACGGCGATCACTGGACCAGGTTCTTTGTACCCACAATGTCGCCATCCGTTCCGTTACTTTTGTTTTCCTCCGTGGCAAAATTGTGGAACTACAGATGCCTCCGTGGCATCTGTAGTTCATCGAACACAGATGCCTCCGTGGCAAAATTGTGGAACTACAAAAGAAGAAAGGGGTACGAAATAAACCAGCGGGTTTACGTTCGTTTGGAGATCCCCTCCCACCTCCCACGTTCTTTTTTCCCGCTTTTTCTCCCGTCCATCCAACAGGCACGCACACAGCCATAACCGTGAAACGGCCCACCGTTTCGATACCTCTGCATGCCCTTTTTTTTTCTTTTTTTTTTCTTTTTTTCCTTCGTTGTTTCTCTGCTAGATTTCTCCGCCCAGGGCCAACATGATTGATTCGTTAGGTAAATCGCCCAACCTCAATTTGCCCAGCCAAAGAATACCTTCGGCTTTGTTGGCCATAACCACCCTATTTAAACCACCAGTACTTGGCCCATACATCGGCCGCGGGCCCTTAGCGCTACACAAATTTCGCGGCCTGCGGGCCGTGGATAAATCGCATCAACAGCCCATGTCGCTTCGTCGACCTCCGAGGGCCGGCGTGCAGGCTCGGCATAGATAGCTGGGCCATGTACTGGTGGTTTAAATTACCAGTACCCCTGACAGCTGCGGTGCAAACAGCACCAGTACTTGGCCCAGCAATAGGCCGTGGGAAAAAATATAGTAGAAATGTTTCTAGTCGGATGAATTTGGGTGCTCCTGTAGTGGCCCGTTCGTTTCCTAAAATTGTGGCTTGTTAACGGGCACGACTTTAGGAAGTACTTGTGGTTTAAACCACCAGTACTTGGCCCAGCTATCAGCCGCGAGCGATCCCGTTAACGCGCCGGTAGTTGCGCGCTTGGGGGCACCGATCCACAATGGCTGGAAGCGCCAGCCAAAATGAAAACGAAACGGTGCCCCGGCGGCTCGGCAAAACTTGGCGCGCAGGGGCTATCCCGGCTCGGCATCAATAGTTGGGCCAAGTACTGGTGGTTTAAGATCGTTTGCGTGGCCACTTGGGTGAGATAACATTTGAATTCTTGAGTTTCTTCTGAAAATTCCCACATCAACAATGCACGATGTAGATTACGATTTTTTGTTGGAATAATGCAATGTTTTTGTATTGTCTACTGCGTGGGCGCGGGGAACACAGCCCTAAGGTAGCCAAAGCAATGAGACTAAGTGTGCGCACGAGAGAGAGAGAGAGAGAGAGAGAGAGAGAGAGAGAGAGAGAGAGGCTGAATGACAAAATTGGAATATGGATCAGATTGTGGTCGTAATCTATTTCGCAGTTAAAATAAAATTTTAAACTTTATTTAATATTTTTGCTGGAAAGATCACAACAAAATCTACGAGCAATCCAATTTTCAGCATTTTCCACTCATTCTTCAAAGCGTGAAAAATCACTGAAGTTGGAGTACTTTTTCCTTGGCCCACACATGGCTGAGTGCCAAAAATGGAAAACGTGCCGAATCTGGGCAGCGATTATTTCGCAGTCATAGTGATTTTTAAAAATGTTTCTAATATTCCTGGAAAAATCACAACCTAATCTACGGATTCTTAAAGTTTCAGATTTTTCTGCGAATCGTTTTGAGCACAAAAAATCGTTAAAACGCGGTGGATTGGTCCCCCAACAATTCTCACCCATTTAGAACTCACTTGGTACCGGTCCCCGACTGCAAAAAATGTCTCACCTTGACACAGACATCGAAACCTACTATATCGCAGCCTTAGGGTTGTCAATAATCGGGGCTTTTAATCAACTAGTGCGTATGAATTTGGGTTCCCGACTTTTGTTTTTGTTTCGTCGTGCTGCTCTTGGAGCTGGATTTTATTATTCTTGTGCACTCAATTCTTGCACTTTTCCCCCACTCGCTTTAATCTCTTATCCGTTTCTGTCAAAAGTTTATCAATTGTCTCTCTATCCCTTCTCTCTTCTTGATTGTTTGCCTTAACCGTCTTTTTTTTTGTGACTGTGCACTGACCACTATTTCCCCTCATACATTTTCAACCATCTCTCTTCGTATGCGAACTCTTGAGTCTTAATGACTAAGTATAATGCATTACAAGCCAGTTTGTGGAAAGCAACAAAGTCGCTTATGTCACAGTCCGATCATGATATTTATTAGACACTTCTGAGTTTTAACCTCCCTTTTTTTCATTTTTCATCAAAAGCTTTTAAATTTAATTTCCCTCGCATGCATCCCTGTGGCTACAAAGTTTGAAAGTGTGACTTTATGTTTCTCTAATCTTCTTGAAATTAACGCAATCAGGACGATGAGTTAACTAAGTATGTTTTTTTATCTGAGTATAAGGAGAATGAAAAGGTTTGGCAAGCTACCACTAATCATGCGGTGTTGGCGTGTCACTACGACGGCATGTGGGATGACAATAAAAAAATTGATGGGTACGCGATGATGGACTATTAGCTCTAAGAAGTTTTAACTATGGTTGTAAGGAATTTTTTTATTCTCTATGAGAAACTTTGAGAGAGAGACGAGATAATACTTTCAAACTTTCTTTTGAGTTTTTTAATGGTGCAAACTATTTTTTTTTTCCTCTTATTCTTATCATCTAGCATCTCACTTTATCCTTGTTTTGTTATAATTTGATAGGTTTTTGAAGTACTTAGAAGTACGCGAATTAGTTTAATGTGTATGCATATGTGTAAAATGACTATTTTTTTACGTAGAGATATTGATAATATTTTTTCCTTCGAGTTTTGTTTTTATTATTTATTCAATGTTTTTTTTAACATGGATAACTCCGGACAGTTTGTCACGTTTGATTGATTATCCTCTCATTATCCGTTACCAAAAAGACATGTATTGGTTCTGTCAGTAGAAAATAAGAGAAGCGATCATATAGAACGGTCAACCTTATTATTTTCCTGTGGAAATGTGTTGGATTGCATTCGTCGAATCAAAATTTGTGATTATGGATACGAAGTTCCCCCCTCATTCTCTCCTCCTCTCATACGAGGAACTCACAATCATACAATGGAGTGTCGTCTTTACTTTTAGCCGCAAAACTTGTGTTTTGATTGTAGGTTTGAGGAATATTATCGTTGTCAAAGGTTCGTTTATGAGTCGTACAGTGATGCGGATTACTGGGTTCGATGCTCTTGGCTAGGAGCGTCCACCTATGATTCAAACTATACAAACACCGCAGAAAATATGTCAAAGCGTTAGAGACCTCACATATGAAATAATATGATACCCCCGAACCCTTCAACTCATAGAAGCGACAGCGACAATAACAGTTATAGGGGCAATCAAACCCATTATGGATCATCATTATTTATGTCTCTATTTCTATTTGTCAAATTCTCTTTCCATCCCTATGTTCTTGATGAGTTGCATTTCAACCCTTCCTTTATCCGGTAATTATATTGTGGTCAAATCACCCTCATAATCTTGAAGGATACAATACATGAGATCTCAGCTCTTACCTTTGACTCCAACCCCCCTTTTCCTAAATCTTTAGCACATTCTCACACTTTTTAGGCCTACACTTGTTTCGATCATAAATTTGCACCGAGCATAAGGTTGACCGCCATACCCCAGTTATATCTCACACCTAAGCTTTCCTTCTAGGGTGGATAAAACAGTGGGTTTGCAGTCATAGGGTTCATAGTTTAACAAAAGTTATTTATGACCTCTAAGAAAATGTTTGACGATGGTTTGATTGCTTCGTTGAAATTTGTAATTGTTAGATTGCTACGTAATCAAAGCAAAGGGGTCAAGGAAACCACAAAGTAAGCATAAATAAGGGAAACGCGTTTCTCTTCTCCGTTACCATGAGAACAGATAAATTTTTCGAAGAAGGAAAACCACATTCATGATTTGTTAGTGATGTGTTATGGTCATGGAATATACCCCAGTGACCAAGACCCCCAAGAAATGATTATAGAGTAACGAGAAGTTAGGTTCAATTGAACGTATCCTCATACGGAAACTAGGTGAAGCGGTTGAAGAAGATAAAAAACACAATTATTTCTTAGAGAAGTCAAGTTTCTACGAAATTTTTGCTAGTCTTTGAAGATTACTATGTTATTACGCAATAATTGCTTTATACCCGACACCAAAAGAGGAAGGGTAAAGATATACGATGTGATTTTTTTTTGCATATCGTCAAGTTAAGAGAAGTTGTGGAATAAGTGGTGGTAGCTTGAATGTTTCAGTTGTGGCTTGAGGATATCATACGATATGCAGTTCAAGTCATGAACGACTCAAGTTAAGTTCAAACTTTAAACGTATGCGGCAAAACGAGGATAATTTGTTTTTCTCATTGTGATACAAGTGTTATTGGATAATGTCTAATATTTTTATCCACAAATCGAACTTGTGATAGGCAATCCTCCAAATGCGAGTTTATCTCGTCTAACCTTGGTCAATACGAAATTTGATATCGATCCAAAATCGAGTTCATATAAGAAGGATAAGTTATGGATGGAAACATCTACGAATTATCAATTGAAAGTTGAACTTTGATTTATGTTAGTGGAGGCGATTGAGTATTGAAGGTGTTGCCGATTTTCTACATGGAACTCGAGTGTGAAAAAGACACCTATCCTAGTAATAAGGTAGGGAGCAATCGGAAGCAATGAGATGAAATCCAAAATTAACGTTCTCCAACGCTAATGAAAGACTTTTAACATAAGGAAATAAACGAGTACGCAATGGATCTCTTGCACCGTGTACATCTTCCTTAAGCTCAATATGGGGTAGGTAGTAAAACATGGTTTCAAAATATGATCACGGATCAGGTGCACTTGCTCAATCCTGAATATGGAAGGTCAGACGCCTTCACTCCATATCCTTCAATAGTGTTTTCAAATGCTTAGTTCGGTATGCTTACACCGATAAGAGGTGAAATCCGCTATGGCGGGAATGAAAATGATCATTCCACTATCAGTTGATGGAGTTCGGTCTAAAAGCAAATAATGATGATGATTGCGCAATAAGGTTTTTGCATTACGAATATAAAAATGATTAACAATAAGTTGGGGTTAGAAGCCAGAACATGAGCGCTATGCAAATACAAGGAAACCAAATATTTCAACCTCTCACTGACTCTTCCCATCTTCTTGCAACCAATCTAGCGGCAGACACGGTATCAACCCCGGGACAGAATAACATGCGACATAATGAT